GTTTAGGCTGGCCTTGAGCTCACTTTGTAGCCCAGGCTGGTCTTGAACTTGCAATGATCCTCCTGCTTTAGCCTCCCAAGTGCTGGGATTACAGGCCTGCACTGCCACACCTGGCTAGCACTTTAGATTATATAGCCATCTCATAGGAAAAGAGAGTGTTGCTTCACTTGTTGATGGCAAACAGCTCTTCTCTTGGTGACCTTACCATTCATGAAGCTGCATTCCCTGGGAAGGCTAGGGGGAATAAAAAAGGTTGTGTCAGATTTGCATTCTTTTTTCTTTTTAAGTTTTCCATATTTTTAAAAATTTTTAATTGTGAAAACAAAGAACTTCTCAGACCAAAGCTTCTGGAAGAACCACTTGTTTCTGCCTGTCTTGGGTCTCTCCTAGAACTTGACCTTTGCTCCTGCTGGGCCATGCCTTGAAGCGCAGGGTCTCTGAGATACCTGCTGACAACAGTTTTGTCTAAGCAGATGTCCACAGAGTAGCTCGTCACCTGAGGTGATGCAGTTACAAACTTTAACACAAGTCTTGATCTTTGACCTCTTGGCGATTTTCTCCTTGCCCAGAGCGATTGTCATTTTACAGGGACAGCCATTAGTTCCAGCCACCAGAGCCTGGAGTGGGACAGTCTGAAGCACCGTCATCACCATTCTTCACAATGACCACTCGGCATTTGGTTCCGTCAACTTGCCCGTTCTGACAGCACTGCGCCAGGCCTGAAGCAGAAAGGTAGCTCTGCACTCTTACAGTAATGCCATAGACTGTGTATCTCTAGGGTTACTGTCAAGCCTGACCAACTTCATCTGAAAGAACTGCAGTTTCTGGTGTCCCCATGGGGGAAGTGATGTGACCTCACAGGGGCTCCCCTGAGCTTTCATTCTTGTTGGCTTTCATAGTTCACATCCAGTCAGGGAGAAAAGGAAACCCATGTTCATGTTCATAGTCCACCTTTGCGGATGTGGGATGTGTGTGTGACCCAGGAGGCATAATCTTTGTGTGCTCTGTGCAATGCTGAGGACTCCGAAGTGTTCTCAAGATACCACCGACGTGGAAGTCTAACAGAAGAAACACCCATCTTCCTGGAAACAACTACAAGTAAAACAAGGTTTAGACTGGAAATAGGCTAACCAGTATCACAGCAGTTTCAGTGTTAACAAATCTTATCAAAGTGGTTGGAGAACTACCTTTTGCCAGTTGCATGTTTTAGTTGATTCTCTGTAAGTGATGGGAACACTTTTTTTTTTTTTGAGATGAGATCTATGCTGCCCAGGCTGAACTTGAATTCTTGCACTCAAGTCATCTTCCAGCCTCAGCGTCCCAGGTCCTCAGTAGGGACTACAGATGTACATACCATGCCCAGTTTGGGACCAAAGGTTTTGGGTTTTGTTTTGTTTTTTTTTTCCATTTCTTTTTTTTCAGGATTGAAATTTTGAACAAATTTTTCATAGACATATTTGGGGTCATAAGTGCTTGTTGTAGTAGGCACAGTGAAGCATTGTGGGGCTTGGTGAAGCCAACATATTTGTCAGTGATCTGCTGGGGACTCTTCCCGTGTCCTGCTGACTGGACACATTGTGGTTTTCCATTAGTTTCATCTTCTTTCTGTTTTTCTGGTTCCTGTTTGGGAGTGTCCCAAATTATTGTCATTTCATTATCCATGTTTTTTTAACATGCGATGGTTCTTTTCCTTTGTGCCTTTTTTCAGTGCTGGGGATTAAACCCAGCCCTTTTATTTTTTATTTTGAGACAAAGTCTCCCTAAGTCATGAAGTTACTCAGGCTAGATTTCAAGTTGTGATCCTCTGGCTCAGCCTTCCATAGTGCCAGGATTACACCTGTGTGACACCATGCCCGACTCCAAAATGGCTCTTTAGATCATTAGTGCTTTTTATTTCCATTCAAGGTAATACTTCATATTGAGCTCCATAATTATGTGACAGAAGCAGGAAGAGGTTCTGTCATTGGTGATAGGTCTAACCTGTTGTCCCCAGCTGCCTGCGTTCCTGAGCTCTGAGAACAATCACAGCCCATTCCTACAGCCTGCAACCCCTACCCCAGGCCAAAAACAATGCCCACTCTTCTAGGACCCAACACACACCCCCGTCCCTGCTAGGTCACAGGGCCAGTTGCTGTAGCCCCACACTCAGCCTTTCTCCCTCCCCCAGCCTCATCCCCCTTCCTGTCTCCTCATGTAAGCCTGTCCCCTGTCCTGTCCATAAAAGTCCCAGCTCCATAAACTGGACTCAGACTCTTCTTGGGAGTTACTCCAGGAGGTCCCACCCTGAACTGAAATTCAGGCTGCCATGTTCTTTACTGGGTCGTCACTGTTTACCTAACAGCTGGGACACAGGTTTCCTCAGGTCCTGTGCTCCTCAGTCCGTTACCTGTCTGGGTGCTCTTCCTTCTGGAACTTCGAATCTGTCACAACAAGGTGCTAAGACTTGACCAGAAATGTCAAGGCACAGAAGTTACTGGAGTGCCGCCACAGTGTGCGCCCCCACAGGGTGGTTTCTGAGCAGCTTTGACAGAGGACAGAGCTGCTGCACGGTCTGGGCTGGTTTCTACCAGAGAAAACTCCTGTCCAGACCAGCAGAGGGTTGCTGGACATGGGGTACATGCCTATCATCCCAGCACTTGGGAGGCTGAGGCAGAAGTATTGCCTTGAATTTGAGGTCAGCTGGGCTATGTGATGAGTTCCAGGCCAGCTTGAACTAAGTAGCAAGACCTTGTTACAAAAAGCCAAAACTAACAAAACTTAGACCAGTGTTGGAGGGGTCAGTCCACTGCTCAGGCTGGAGGTCTGTGGCAGGGTCTCCCAGCAATTGCGTAGCTCAGAGCATCTCAGAACTTGTTCTTCTACACACTGTGACTTCCTGCTACCCGGGGCTGGAGGCACAGAGGAGTCGATGGGGCTCTGTCCTGCCCAGGGAGCGACTAGGCAGTGGGTGACAGCACAGCATGCACCCCACTCCTTCCCCAGGTCCCCCACAGCCCTGCAGCACTGCCTGGGGGGTCTGTGGCTAGTCTCGCAACTCCCCACCCCCGGTCCAGCACAAGCTGGGTGACCCCAGCTCCCCGCTGGCATTAGTGAGGGTCCTGGTGGTCACCAGCTGCAGGATGATTGAGGGATCCAGGAGCAAACATTGATGTTGTCCAGTAGCCTTTGAGAGGGTGGCTGAATGCTTGGAGCCACCAGGCCAGTAGCAATGAGCCCTCACCTGGATCTGTAGTCTTGGCACTGGACCCAGTTCTCAACACCGCAGCCCAGCAGGAGGCGGGGAGCCTGGTTCTCCACATCTCCAACGTTTCCTCAGCCAGACTCACCCTTGAGTTTCTCTGCCCCTGAACACTCGAGAGCCTCTTGCTTTCACAGTGGTCAAACAGCCTGGGAGAAGTGGCCCAACCCCACCAGACACCAGAAGAGGCTCTGCGGCCACATCCCACCTGGGCAGCTGTGACACTGTGCCCTCCACATGCTGGGGGTAGTGGGTTAGCAGGTGCTAATGTTTCTCCACACTACCATCTTCTCTGGGTAAGGGTGTGTTAGGAACCCAAGACCCTGGCACTGGTACACTCACTGCTACAGAACTGTCTGAGTTTCTAGGCACCCTGGGGATAGAACTACGATTGATGTGTGTGTACCAGCCTGGATGCCAGATAGGCAGGCATGTCTCACACCTTTGGCCAAACTCAGCATTTCCCTTCAGCCTTCTTTCTTTGCTTATCTGGAACTTGCTTTCCAGTGAGATAAATCTTTCCCCACTTTAAAAAAAATGTAGCATCTGGAAGCCATATGTGGTGGTGCACTCCTGTAATCCCAGCATTCCTCAGCAGGAGGCTGAGGCAGGAGGATTGATATAAATTTGAGTACAGCCTCAGCTACATAGTGA